TTTAAATATATATATATATATATATATATATTTACTTATTTAAAAAAATATTTAAAAATTATGAAATTTAAACTAGCCGGTTCAAAATAAATGGGCTGATTCACTAGATTAACCAGTGACTCTGACTGGTTCAGTCCGATTCGATGCAGAATCGATTTTAAGATTGAGCTGGACCGGTCTTGTGACCTGTTCACGGTCGAACCGACCAGTCCGGTCCGATTTTTAAAACATGGATAAATATTTAACAAAAACTTATTTTTTTTAATAATAAAAAATCAAAACAATTTGCCCATTCCAACAATATAAGAGTTGTTTACATAGCAAATTGGCTCTACAAACAATAATTGGCATTATTTCCTCTCAGTCAAATACAATTTTTTTAAGGATTGAGAGAGGTTTTTTTTGTCTCATTAATTGATTTTTCAATGTCTAGTTTTATATCATGAAGTAGCATTTCAATAGATGTAAGTGCCTTTCTGAACAATAATAGTTTTAGAATTAATTTGTTATAGCTTTTCTTTGTCTAAAACAGTTTTCTAATACAAAAATTTATAGTTCATAAAATTTTTATATTAAAAAATTACTTCAAACATAATAAAAGAGCTATCCGAAATAAAACCTTAACCAACTAATTTTAAAAATATTTACCATCCATTGCATAATGAAAAAAAAATTCTAGGAAAAAAACTACTCATAAATATGCTTTAATATATAAAGAATTAATATTTCACTCATCTAAATAAAAATTTAAAAATTTAAAACTCATCATAATTTTATTTTTTAATCATAACAAAATTTCTTATTTGCAAGTCTCTTTCCTTGAACGGTTCCGAATCCCCATCCGTCCTTTCTTCCTCTTCCATTACACAGTAAATGACGACGACCATTTCACAGCTTCAAGCTGCATACTTAAATCCACCTCTCTCTATCTCTCTCTCTCGCTCGCTCGCTCTCCCCAATGGCGAATCTCCTCCTTCCCATCTTCTCCTACCTTCTCCTCTCCACCGTCGCCTCATCCACCTCATCTCTTCACCGAACCAAACGCATCATCTCCGACGTGCTCGACGACCACCTCTCCTCCGCCACACCATCACCGCCGCATCCGACCACATTCTTCGAAGTCAGCCGACCCATTCCGGTCCCCAAAACTCCGCCTTGCTCCACCCTCGTCCTCCGCCACGACTTCGCCTTCACGTACGAAAAACCTCCGGTCACTGCCACCTACTCCCCTCCCTCCCACTGCTCCCTCCTCCGCCGCCGCCTCCCTGCGCGCGTCATTCTCGAATGGTCCGCCGCATCCACCGGCCGCCAATTCGATCGCATCTTCGGCGTCTGGCTCGCCGGCGTCGAGCTCCTCCGCAGCTGCACCGCCGAACCTCGCGCCACCGGAATCCTCTGGTCCGTTCGCAAAGATGTCACTCGCTACTCCACCCTCTTCTCCAAACCGCAAACTCTCGCCGTCTACCTCGGCAATCTCGTCGACCAGACCTACACCGGCATCTACCACGTCAACATCTCGTTCCACTTCTACTTCGACCCGCCGCCCCCACATCCGCCGGCGACGGCGACGGCGGCTGTCCCAGCGTTCGTCTCCCCCGCCGATCTCATCATTCCCATATCAAAAACTCTACCTTTAAACGATGGATTATGGTTTCAGATCCAGAACTCAAACGATATTCAGGGGAAGGAAATCTCCATCCCTAGAAACGCATACAGAGCAGTTCTTGAGATCTACGTCTCCTTCCATTCAAGCGACGAGTTCTGGTATACAAATCCTCCTAATTCATATATATCTAAGAACAATCTCACTTCTGTTCCTGGCAATGGAGCTTTCAGGGAGGTCACTGCAAGCTTAGATACTAAGCTGGTTGGAGCTGTTTGGCCATTCACTGTGATCTACACAGGAGGGTTGAATCCACTTCTCTGGAGACCAATTTCAGGTATTGGTTCTTTCAATCTCCCTTCATACGACATCGAAATCACACCATTTTTGGGAGAAATTTTGGATGGGAAGAACCATTTCTTTGGATTTGGTGTTACAGATGCTTTGGATGTCTGGTTTATTGATGCAAATCTGCATCTTTGGGTTGATAGCAGGAGCTATTCTACAAAAGGAAATCTGATTAACTATAAAGCACCTCCATTTTCTCCATCTTTGGTTTCAAAGTTTAAGAATCTTGATGGGCATTTTGACACTACTGCAAGAAGAAAGATTTCTTCAACTGGATGGGTGAAGTCCTCTTATGGAAAGATCACTACACATTTCTTCCAGAGTTTCAAATTTACTAATAAGATGAAGTTTGCAGGAAATGGAAGCATTCAAGAAGTGAATCAGAGCATAGATTATAATCATGGAAGTTATGCCAAATATTCATCTTCAGCTTTGTTCTCTGAACAAGTTTTTCAAAGCTTTCCTCTTTATTTAAGTTCAGGGACTGAAGATCAGGATAACGATAGTTTCTCTTTGATTACAAATATTACATTAGGGTTCAATGAGAACAAGTTTTCAGGAGAAAGATTTGGTTTTTCTTTAAGTAATTTGAGTAATTCACAGACTGGTCAAGGTGTTATGCAAGTGAAGGGAAATCTGGTTACTGGTGGTGTAGGTAGTACTGAACAAGGTTACAGGTATGAAGGAACTGATGGCTGCTACTATAGAAATGTTGGTAGCAGGAATTATAGTATTCTATATGATAAATCTGGAGATTATTGTAGAAAGAGTTGAGAGTTTGGCTCTTGAGGACATTTTTTCTCTTGATGAACTGTTACAATGAATAATAAAACTGGGAAGCTTCATCATATCTACTAAGGTGTATAAAGTTTTATTAAGGTGTACGTAATTATCAAATATAGCATATTGGAGTGCCATGATGAACACACAAAATTTATGCAATGCTAAATGAATAAAAGCTTGATAGAAAAATTTGGATGTATCATGCATTATAAACAACCAGTAGTAATAAATAAATACTTTTCAATTTAAACTTTGATATGAGATAACTAATACTTGAAGGTTGATAATATGGAAGGTGTTGGATCAACTTGTTAATGCAATTCTCGCTTGACTTGGATGGAGAGAGTCAGCTACAACTAACAAGGAGAGTGAAACATATTGAATTCCATCAAGGAAGAGGCCAAACAAGATTTATAAGGAACGACTGCGACATTCTTCGGATGCTTGCCTTTGAAGAGAGGGGTCTAACCAATCAAAAGAGGAAGACATGCGAAAGACTTTTATTGATCTAGTTCTTCATATTCTAGAGTTTATTATATAAATCAAATATGAGACGTCAAAAGTAATATAACAAACGCACAAAATTTGTAAGTTCTGAAATCTAAAACTTTCAACAATTAATAATTACCTTTGATAAATACAAAATTACAATTAAAATTGTTGGGGGGGAGGCTGAGAGATTTGCAGCGGTGTGAAAATGTTTTACGTCTTAGCGATGTACGAAAACTCAGCACACAAGCAGATAATGATAAAAAAACATCAGAATTTTTACGCGGAAAATCTTGAAAAAGGACAAAAAAACCATAGGGTTTTGTCCAGTTGAAATAATTGCACTAGTATTTGAACATATTACAAAGGTTGACCCATCCCTCAACTCAAGGACATTGTAAATATAATATATTGAAGAATTTTTCAAACTTCAGATGAGTACTTTTGATCTTGCTTGAATGACATACATTAAGGATATGGTAGTGACAGTTGGGAAAATATTCAGCAAAAGTATGGCGATGGTTGGAGATCCAGTGATAATCATCAAACGGTAGAAAATATGACGATATTTGGAGATCTTGAGGTAGTAAACGAGTAGGCAAAAGTCCGGCAATGGTCTTTGGTCGGGAAGTTATCCGGTGGTGGCCAATGAACAGGCAAAAATCCGACAACGGTTGGTGGTCGGGAAGAGGTCCAATGGCTGATGTTGCTAATTAGAGAATGCAAGAGAGCTACCTAGTTTTCTCCTCTCTTCCTCTCCCCTCATGTTAAAAATGAGTGTCTATTTATAAATTTTTAAGAGCGGCATGCCTAATAAATATGGAAAAGATTTAGAGAAATTTTAGAATGTTCCATTAGACAACTGATATCAGTTCTCTCAATAATGAAGCATTCTTCGAACATTTATATGCCATAACGATGTCAAAATTTAAGTGATATAGGGCTCGTTGGATTCATCTCGTCGAGCCTCTTGATTCTTCAATAAGCATGTCATATTTAGATATCAATTTGTCATCCAAATGATGCTCTTAAGCTTTTAAATAGGCATTTGTCCTTTAATTTGGGCTCGTTTGGGCTCAAATCAGACTGAATTTTGTGTCATTGGGTCGTCTTCCTTATATGTCTAATTTGGCTATAAGTTTGTTGAAATTGAACTTTGGATGGTTTCAAATTTAATATTGGAAACTTCCGACTCATATTTGTATTGAGATTCGTGCCCAACTAAGATAATTTCTTAGCGACATCAAAAATCAGTAGAAAAAATCTAATAGCATTCTGCCAAAAATAATAACTACAAATTCAAAATCAAGAAAGCATCAAAATCATTTTAAAATTCCCGCACTTCTTGAAAATAAATCAATTACATTATCATAACAAAATTTACAAGAATAAAATGACATAAAAATTCACACACTTCTTGAAAATTAGACCCACAAAAAAGGCAGAGGTTGAATGAAAAGAGGCCAGAAATAGCAACTATGAAACAATGTTACAATAGATGGCTACTAAACGAAAGTCAACAGTGGAAGTCAAATCAAGAAATAGAGAGACCGTTGGTTGAGAGATGTTGCAAAACTAATTGCATGAGAGCTGCAAGAAGCAATCAATACAAAGATAACACCAAGGAGTGTCCTTGAACACAAATGCAAGACCCAATTAATGCAAGAAATATCTTTAGGACTTGGTTGCCACAAAAGCTGAAAGACCCCACAACAAAGACAAGCAAGATAGTGGTTCAAAGAAAGAAATCAATCAATCACAGATAAAATTTGTTAATCTGCATCACTCAAATATCTACTTCTTGTACTTAAACTAAACAATTTCATGATAAAAGAAATGTTCATGAATAAATTTCACAACCTCCCTCCCTACCTCCTTCCCTCTCACTCATCTAAAGTGATACTTCAAAAAGATGAAGCTTACATTAAAAGAAAAGTTGAGAAAATAGGGAAGAACAACAAGAAAGAGATTACCATCAAAGGGTCCTCAATCAAATTTGTATAAAAAGTATTCTTCTTCTACATCAAATGGTATTACATAGATTCTTTGTACATCATTAGATGTCGTGTTTCCCCTTCTCCACTACCAAAGTTAACCCACTTACAGATCAATGCATCCATATCTATGATAGTGTTTCTGATTTTATGTTGTACTACATAGAACTTGACATTATTAAATAAAGAATTATGAGTCCCATGTGAATCATAGTAGGAATGATAATGAAATTAAGATAAACTCAAACAACAAGAAATTAGTTTTACATTAAAAAGGATAAATTTTTCTAGCTGGATCTGAAAATAACGAAGTAGAAGCCATATTGACACAGCTCTTTGGATAGAACTATTTAATGGGATTGTTCAGTAGAAGCTATATGCCCTTCTCCTATAGGTTGCTCAAGAAAACAGCTTGGGTTGTGCTCATCGAAAATTTTCTCAATACACAATCATATCAACTGATAGACTTCTACAATGCGGTAAGAAACTAATCCTCCACATAGCATACATGTGGCTGGCAAGTATGGCCACTAGTGTACGAGAGAGAGCTTCCAAAACACGAACAATGTTGTTAACCAAAACAAAGGCAAACAAGTCATCAATCTTATTCCAATAATGAAAGAGATCTTGTGGTCACAGGAAAGGATCACAAGGGAAAAGCTTGAACTGTGAACATCCTATATACAGGCCACATAAAGATTATATATCACAATGGTGAGCACTGCAAACTATAAAACAGAAATGTATATAATTTGTTGAACAGCACGAAAAAGAAAATTAAAATCTAATGGGCAATTTCCCCCGCCTACTTACGTACCATATATAACGGGAAAAACGAGAAATATAAGAACAGTTTCATATAGCTGAGAGAACAAACTATATAAATAAAACTCAAAAATCAAAACTGAGGGGATTGAAGTTCTCAGAAGAATGTAGATCAAATCCATTTTTCATTAAACTATCATGTATCAAATGGCAGAAGGCAGAAACCTCCACTGCATAATATTTCATAATTGAATTACCCTTTAAGTGTGAAGAATCAATAACTGGCTATGTATTCCGCTCCAGAAAAAGAGTAAAAAATAAAGACGGAGAATTTCAAACCATAACTGTTCATCAATGGATAGAAGGCAACATACCAGAACAGAAATTCAAAACACATTCTATCTTATTTACCTTCCACCTCCAGCTTCTAATCCACAATCCTCTTTAATTCTCCATCCCCCTTTCAATAATTTATTCCCTACTCTTCAACCTCGAACGCCGATCAATCAAACCCGGAGCTTCAAGGCATCAAGGCATGGCTCTCGGATCCGTTCCGTGCTGCCAAACATAGACGAGCTCGTCCCAGCCTGTGCTGGCAAGAAGCCCCTCAACAAGCACGCTCATGTCCACACCCACAGCAAACTCCGTGTGGTGGTCGTACCGCGCGAGTAACGCGTCCTCCGCACGATAGTCCCAAACGCAGACCGTCATGTCATAGGAGCACGACAGGAGCAAATTCTCGTGGTGAGGCGAGAACTTGATCCGCCTCACGGCGTAGCCATGGCCAGCAAGCGTAGCCACGGGGGCGCGAGAGGCGCGAACGTCCCAAACACGAACAGTCTTGTCAACCGAAGAGGTGGCGAGGAAACAGTCATCGTACTTATTCCAGTCGCACGAGAGTATCTCGTGGTCGTGGGCGGGGATCACAAGTGAGGAACTCGGATCGCGTACGTCCCATACGCGGGCTGTACAATCGCCGGAGGCCGACGCGAAGACATCAGCGTGACGAGGGCTCCAAGCCGCGGAATAGACGCAGTATGCATGTTCGCGAAAGGTGCGTATAGAAGTGGGGCGATCGAGAGTCCAGAGCTTGAGCGAATCGTCCCAGGAGGCGGAGATGAAGGAATCACGACGAACGGGGTTCCAATCAACGGCATGAACCTCGCGAGCGTGTTCTTTCAGGGATCGGATAGGGTTGGCTGAAGGAGGGAGGGCGGCGTCCCAGAGCTTAAGGGAGCCGTCGGCGACAGCAGCGACTGCGAGAGAGTCGTGGGACTCGGACCAGGCGCAATCGTAGACCCCGTCGGCGGTGTCGAAGGAGCGGACCTCTGAGATGCCGCCGGATGGATTGAGATCGAGGATGTGGAGGCGTCCGTTGCCGAGGATGCCGAAGTTTTGGGCGGTAGCTACAAGTATGCGATTCTCGTAAAAGGGGCTGAATCGAACCGCGTAGCCATTGAAAGGGGTTTTGAAGACCGGCATCTCCGTCGCTTCTGGAGATTTCTGCAACTGGTATGAGAGACGGATCGGATATGAGAAAAGCGAACTGATCTGCAATAGTGTAGTTTCTCTTTTCCTCGCGCGCTTCGGGTTCTTACCGGTTAGCGTAGTAGTGGATCAGCTTATGGTAGATGACCGGTGAGAATAAGCGATCCCTGCTTCGTGCGTAGGGTTGTCGCTAATAAGTTTTTTTATTTACATAAAAAATAAATGTATACATCAATGTATTTTTTTTATATTCATATTTATATTTTTTATCTAATATTTTATTATTAGAGCTAATAGATTTTCTTGTAGATGAAAATAGAGAAGAGAGGGATTAATGATAATATAATATCTTTGTCAGAATTTTAGTTAATAATTGACATTTGTACGTCAATATCCTTAATGTAACATGATAGTCTACCCCAACACCTTACTTTAGTTAAGGGTGTCAATTTTTTCTGACATGTTAGCGGGTCAGGTTCGTGTCTGACATTAAGTTGGCTCGACCTGAATGCACTTTATTCAAACTCAACCTTTGTAGTATATAGGTTAAAATTTTTTACATGAATCAAACTAATTGAACTCAACCTATTTAACTCGTTTATTAAATGGGAATGCAATATTGTTTTAGATAAACAACACTTGTTTAACATGAACTCAACTGACTAGTTTATCCCTAATCGGACCCACCCATTTAAGCAGAACAAAAATATTCTTTGGGTCAATTTCGACTCAATTTTGTGTTTGCGGGTTATCATGAATCTAGCTGGAAATTTTATAAGGCCAATATTTTAGCCTCGAACCCAACCAAACATTGATTACATACTATTAAGCGTTCATCCTATAGATATAATTATTTTTAGGCAGCTCTCACATTACATATATTAGTTGGTAAGCTTCTTTGGAGGCCCTAATGAATGCTAAAGGAGATGATTTCAAACATTGATTGCTTAGAAGAAGTTGAAGAGGGCTAACTTATAGAGTTCTTATCAAGAGTCCTAATGATATGGGGATCAAATCATGGAGGTGATGGCCATTGTGATTATTCAATTGTACAATGCCTATAAAAAGAAGCATTCTTCATAAATAGAGCATCATGTTGTGGAGAGATTAAGGTTTCGTTTGGGGATGTTTTCTTATTTCTTTCTAAAATAATTTTTAGTACAAAAAATTTTAGTTTAAAAAGTTTTTATACTAAAAAATGCTTTCAGAAGCAAAAAGAAAACTGTCCCAAATGAAACCTGAATTAGTTGAGTGTTATGTAACATAAAATTTTCTTTGTTGAAGTTACATGTATGTTTCTTTTGATGCTTACTCTAGTGTTTATTCCTATTATTGTCCTCTAAACAATTGTTACCTAGAGTTGTTATAAGGAGAAATCATGTTGTTATTTAGGCTTTATTTTGGATGGTTTTCTTACTGCTTCTTAAAGCAGCTTTTTAGTACAAAATTTTAAATTTTTATAATAAAAAATTGCTTTAAGAAGCAGTAAGAAAGCTGTCCTAAACAATGCCTTATTATATGTTGGAATCTTGAAATTAGTAATTTATTATTGTCCAAAATCTAATTAAGAACTATATCTAAGAAAGATCAGTATATCAGCTTTTCAAAATAGAGAAAGCAATAAAGTGGTTAGTGTCCTTCAAAATTTCTTATTCTCTAGTGTGAGTGAAATAAAAAAAACTAAATTTGCTTTTTGTCAATATTAGATTAGGCCTAAAATTTAATAAAAGGAAACTTGTTAGGAACATTAATATTATTTTGAAATTTTAGAATTATGGTAGTTTATAAAGAGAGTGGATAATTAAGACATCCTTTTAGTTGATATATCATTATGTTATTATGCAATCACATTGGTTACTAGATCCAAGACCGGTTCACTTAATCCCACCACCAAATTAAATCTTTTTCATACTCAAAACATGCTCGAATTACCTCACGTTCCTACCTCGTACACGGAATTTGTCAAATGCTCTGAATGGCGCCAAGCAATGGCACACGAATTTCTTGCTCTCCAACGACAAGGGACTTGGAGTCTTATTAAACCTCCTTCTGACTCCTCTGTGCTAGGTTGCAGGTGGACCTATAAAACTTAACTTCATGCAGATGGATCGGTAGCTACTCATAAAGCTTGTTTGGTTGCACAGGGAAACAATCAAGAACATGGTTTGACTACTTTGAAACGTTTATCCTAGTCGCCATGCTACCCACAATCCGCATACTTTTGGCAATTGCACTTTACAACGACTGGCCCGTACAACATTTGGATGTTGCAAACACTTTTCTACATGGGCCTTTTTTCGAGACAGTTTATATGACTCAACCACATGGGTTTGAAGACTCCTTACATCCTGATTACGTATGTCATCTTCACAAAGCAATCTACAGACTCAAACATGCTCCCATAATATGGTTCAACATGTTTACCTCATACCTGGTTTCATTGGGATTTTCTCACAGCAAATATGATCAATCACTTCTAATTTTTCGTCAATCTACTATTCAAATATTTTTACTAATGTATGTTGATGATATACTTATTACAGGAAGCGATCAAAAAGCTATTTCCAACATTTTGGATCAACTAAACAAGCAATTCCAAATGAAAAATCTTGGTACTGCAAATGAATTTAGGGGGATTTACATACATGCCACTTTATAATACTCATATTACATATTTAACACTCTAAACTTAAATATTTCATATATACCACTCAAACACAAAAATAACATCATAATTACCACTCCGTCTCCACCAACCCTTACTCCGTCTGCAACAAGCCCTCACTCCCGCTAATATATGCTCCTCTCGCTAGGAATTGACAATGAACTCCTCGCTTCTGTATTGAGAGGAGTTGAGGGAGAGGCCAGTTCCGGTGGACAAAGACTCATCTCTATAGCTGGAGATGGTTGATTTTACAATGCAAGCATTGTTGCAATAGTTCACCTTTAGGCCCTTATCAAATGCAATAGCTGAAGAAGAAGAAATGGAGTTTGAGGGCTTTCTCCTTCTAAGGGAGGTGGACAGCTCCCTGTGCCTCCATGTTAGTGATTCTTCATAGCATTATTAGTTCTCGAAGGGAACAACCTCGCTATGAGAGCCCATTTGTTTCCATTTAGCCGATAAGCTGAGAGAAGCCTTTCCTCTTCCTCCTCCGTGAACGTCTTCTTGTTAATTATTGGGTCTGGTTGAAGCATCGCAACTTGCAACTTGTAGCTCTTCCCTGGAATAACGGAGTGAGAACGGAGTGGTAATTCTGAAGTTATTTTTGTGTTTGGGTGATATTTATGAAATATTTAAGTTTAGGATGTTAAATATGTAATATGTGTATTATAAAGTGGCATGTATGTAAATCCCCCATGAATTTATTGGCATAAAAATAGCTCATTTCAACCAACAATATTTTCTATCTCAAAGAAAATATGCCCTGTCTATTCTCCAACAAGCGAATCTCATAGATTGTAACCCACTGTCCAACCCAACGTGCACTAAGCTTCCGGCCACATTCAAGGAAGACTCCATTCTCAGCAATCCTACCGTATACTGAAGGCTTACCGGATCCCTCCACTTTCTGACTATCACTCGTCCTAACAGTGCCTATAGTGTCAATTTACTATCTCAACATATGCATGACCATCTACCTCAACACACCAATATTCTTAAACCACTGCTTCGATACATCAAAGGTACAATTTACTATGGTATAACCATTACCAAAACTAACCCCATTCTTACTTCCTTCTCAAATGCCCTGTATCTCGGAAGTTAACATCAAGCTATTGCACATTTCTAGAAGAAACGATAATCTCATGGACAGTAAAGAAGCAACACACTGTGTCAAGGTCGTCCATCAAATCAAAATATTGGGTGCTTGCAATCTGACTTCGGACGTCATCTGGATTAGAAGACTTCTCACTTATTTTGGTATAAATCAATAATCTCATACGGACATGTACTACGACAACTCAACAACGATTGTCTTAGCCAATAATCTCGTGTTTCACGCTCGTACGAAACACAATGAAATTGATCAGACATTTATAAGGGATCACATACAAACACAAAATATTCGTCTTCTTTCCATCAGCACAATTGATCAAGTGGTGGATATGTTTACCAAATCTCTCTCCACACCAAGATTTCATAATCTTCGATTCAAGCTGTCGGTCATTCTTCCACCATCAGCTTGCGGGGACATATAAGACCATACAAATAAATAATTATGAAATTGTATTTCTCTCTAATTGGATAATGTGGCTTTAGATTACTTGATGTTTGTTTACAACCACTATATCCATTTATTTATACTCCATGTACTCTATAAATAATTATATTCAGTTTATTTCATTTTCCTTTCTTCAATTCTTGTTCTGCTTACCTATTTCTACAATTACAACTCCAAATAAGAATTTAATAGACCATGTAGATATATTGGAGACTTCAATTTTACTTATATGAATGGATCTATGCCTCCAAGAGAACCACAAGATGAACAACAACTTGTATGTTATTTTTTTACCGAATAATTATTATATTATGAATTCCAAAAGCTCATTAAACTTTAGTTGATTGTTAGTTGAAATTTAATAAAAAAAATTAAGTGGTGATACGTCACAAAAAATTATAAATATAAGATTGAGACTTCAAAAATTAAAATGGGAATTATATGATCTCCATTTTCAACAAACTTGTAGTTGAATTGAACGTATCAAAAAGACGAACCAAATGACACCAAATTCGACTCAATTTGAGCCCAAAGGGTCCAAATCAAAGACTCAAAGCACTTTTGAAAGCTTCAAACCATAATTTGGATTACCAAATGAATTCTAAAAGAGATATGCTTATAATCAAATTGAACGGCTCGACGAGACAAATCCAACGAGCCCAAGATCGTCGAATTTTTGATATCATTAAGATATTCAAATGATCAATCCACGATCAAAGGGATCAATATTGACCATCCATTCAAACCACTCCCATCTTGACATTGATCATCCCCATATTTATAATTCATGCCACTCTCAAAAAGCTATAAATTAATAATCACCATTATTCTCATGAGAGGAGAGGGAGAAGAGGAAAAAGAAGG